GAAAAAGGGGTTTAGGGTTTAGGTTGTTTTTTTCTGTTTAGGGTTTGTGGCTCAGGACGGCTATGTCGATCACTTTGGGGGCCTTACCAGTTAAAGTAGGGTTTCGGGACCTATATTCTGCTACCTGAAAAGCTATTTTAGACACCCTGTGGAAATAAAGAATGATATTCTAGTTTTTGAAGGCCTTTATGTAACGACAGCCCTTTGTGAGCCAATGTTCAGGAAAACTGTGGCGTTGGACCGCGAAGCAATGGCTGTGCCGCGGCGGATGGCAACCTACATCCTGCACCGCTATACCCTTCAACCCTTACAGCAAGCCTTAAACTTGGAATCGCATGTTCCTCCTGCGCGACAAGCGAATCATGGGGCTTACTAGAACCGGTAAGTACCCTCAAAAGAGCAAAGTCGGGTGTAGTGCTAAGGGTACATGCTATTATTGGTAGGGTTCTATTCTCCGGGATCTTGAGGGTTTTAGGTTTTAGGATGCAGTTTTTTCCATCCTTCAATCATGTAATTCGGCAAGGGGTCTTGCATTTACTGCTGGAAAGACCACAATTCGAACCCCAGAACCGGAAATCGGGGTCATACAAGCCTTTGACAGTTGTATCGCTGCCTTGCGGGGTGTCATTTACGAAGACTTATGCGGGATATCCCAGTCTACTTTTTGGCTCATGCCCTCTTTGGAACGGATTATGAAGACCCCTTTTTTGTGCCTGAGCCGAACGTGTCATTGAGAATTCTGGATGCTTTCTTTGAGGATCAGTGAACTTCCATCTATGCATTTTGTCTGAACAGCGGCGGTCACAGTTGGACTGCTGAGGGGTTAGCAGACCCTGGGAGGAAGCATCTTGACCTCTCAAGGCATCCGCAGATGGTGTATGTACCTGTGCATGCATATACACACATGTCTGTATACACATAGCATGTGTATTCACGTGTTTATATATATACACACACACACGCAAGTATATGCTCTTATATACAGGCATAGATGTGTATTTACATCCCCCGGCACATGACCAAGTCTAAGCCGACACGAGGCACCTGCTAGATACCCATGATGGTAACAACGTAGACTGCACATCCACATCATCAGCTCTCTTTTGGCATGCCGGCCTTGTCTGTTTAATGACCCCTGTCATACCTGCAGCTGTTGGTGTTCCTGATTCTGACTGCATTTATATCTGTACTTGTATGTAACATACATACATACATACATACATACATATATATATATATATATATATATATATATGGGCATCATGGAATGCACATGTGTATGTACATATATAGATATAGATATACACGTGTATTTACGAGTGTATGTATATGTCTGCCTGCCTGCCTGTCTGTCTGCATGTATTTGTGTAGGCACAAGTCCAGTATGTTATGTGTACTTGGGGGCCCTTTTGACTTAGTAAGTCTACTTAGTATCCCCTAGAAACCCTATTATAATCCCCATAACCCAGCTTACTAACTCTACTTACTAAGTCAAAAGGGCCTCCAAGTATGCGTTGCCCAACTCAGGTTGGCCTCGCCTGGCACGCCCCGCCCGACGGCACTATGGCGGGTCTCGTCATCGACTTCGCCGCGGGCGAACTCAGGGTTCGAACGCCAAGCTGAGCCAGGAAGCCTTGCGAAAAGGAGAAAGAGGGGAGCTCCCGGGGGCTATATACTATACTGTAATACTATACTGTAGGGGCCTTAAAAATGGGGGGGGGGGCCTTATAATAGTTCTAGTATATTGGGCCCAAAACCCTTTTCTAATGATTAGTTAAGGCCCTTATATCAGAGTTTCGGGGTGTAGTGTTTAGGCTTTAGGGATTGGCTATATGGGGTTGTGGGATTCCGCGATGGAGGCTAACCATGGCTCGGGTCTTGGTGCTGTTGCTGGTGCTGCTTATCAGCGGGTTTTTGTGGTTTAGGAATCCCTAAACCCTAAGCCCTTGCCAGCAAGGAGGGAAAAAACCATAAAACCTAAACCCGTATCTAAAAATCATGACCTGCATGTTATGAAGAGGGTCGGTCATGCCCATTGTCGGGGCTTTGGGTAACACGTGTGCCACAAGAACGTGCCACCAACCTGCCGACCCGAGTTGGTAATGGGTGATGGTTTCCAGGGCTATAATGGGCTCAGGTTTTTAATGATTAGAAAGGTTTTGGGGTACAACACAATTGCCCCTGTAGCTAAAATGAGGAACCCCGATCGAGTTGTGAAGGCTCCTGTAGTATAGCTTGTTTGGAGGGTTGTTGAAGGGGTGTCTGGGATTCAGCGTTCAGACCGCCTTTGTGTGCTAACTGGAGGATCTAGAGAGCCTTTGTCGGCCCAGCTAATGGAACCATATCCGTCCAGTGGTACCCAAGCCCGAAACTCTTTACACAACCTTCGGTGAGACACAGAGCTTACCTTCAAGGGCAGCCTTCCCCTGCAACCGCAACCTTCCTATAGTCTCCATTGTAGTTTCTTTTTGGGGTTACCTTTTGGGATCCTTAATATAAAATTGGTTAAACCAAAAAAAGGAACTACAATGGAGACTATAGGTTAACTTCAAGCAGTGCGCCTTCCAAGTGCCTAAAAACCTTCGTCCCCTTCCGGTACGCACAAGGCCACATCGTGGAAATGTCGCCGCAGATGGAAGCCTTTGTGGGTTCACGCCTCGATTCATTTTCCGCTGCTTCGGTGTCAGGATACAGCTTTTCTTTTTCTGATGTCGTTCGTGTGTGTGTGTGCGCAGTATTTTTGGCGAGATTAGGGTGTGTAGGTCTGGGTTGTGAGCGCCGTACGTAGATCTTAAGAATGCGTAGGGGGGAAAGTCCAGATGTTTCACGCAGAGTTTAATCGGGGTTTGTTTAAATTTCTGCTCGACATTTGTTTGGCTTGCTACCACCGCCTATGTAGTGGGCCTGACAGGCCGAGTAGCAGCAGCAGCAGGAGTAGGAGTAGGGCTGGTGTAGGAGTGGGTGGGAGCAGGAGCAGGAGCAGACGGTGACCACGACGACTTATGTTGTTTTCAAGGCCGCTCGACTCAAACGACGAAACCTTGAAACAAGAACCGTTAATCGAAAACATGCTACGATCAAAGCCTGCGGCCCAGGCCTAGACATTCATCGCACTGCGCCGTACAGCAGTGTGGCACGCAACAATCCCCTCTGAAACTCATAACCCTCCACACCCTACGCCCCACATGTACAAGTCCACAAACACCCCCCGAAAAGTGCCCTGCGCTCAGGCCCAATGAAGGAGAACTCGGCTCTCACTGAGCCCGGGCCTCAGCTCAAAATGCCTTTTGGGTTTACAGTGTTTTGCGGTTTAGGAGTTCGAGACCCAAAGATCATTTTGCATGGATATCACTACCTTATCACTCTTCGTTATAAGCGGGTTTATATGGGATGTCCTTACCCCGATATTTGCTTATGTGCTCTTGGGGGCACCTCGGCGATAGATTGCATGGCTGCCCAGTGATCCTGACAGGTCCTGTCATATCTAGAGGTGGGAATCTTCATTTAAGAACAACGTCTCCCTTGCCGTTCCTAGGTCACGCTACTTCGGGTGACCCAAAACCTCCGCAGCATTGTTGAACCCATTTAAGGCGCTTAATATAGGCCTTTGAATAATGTTCCATACAAGGGTACTTTAAGTCCTGGCCACTAACCCGCAAAAGTGAAGAAAAGCTCTCAAAGTCCTAGGCCGTGATACCCGTGACCGCTTAAAGCCTGAAGCCAGGGTTAGGGTTTCGAGTTTAGGGCTCGGAAGGGAGATTCAAAGCTGATTCTCTGTTTTAAAGTGGCATCTTTGATTGGTTGGCGGCCAACACGCAACCTACCACCCGTTTATGTGCAGGTGCTTTTTTTCGGTGGCTTCTACAGACGAGTGCGGTGTTTTCTCGGGCTGGCGCTTCAGGGTGTGGGACTTGCGATGACTTCAGGTTTCGAACTATTAACTTGTTGAAGTCCCCCTGAGCCCTCAACCCAGACATAGCGGTGAGCTGTGAGGAGTTCGTGAGTCATGGCAAAATAAGAGTTACATACGAGGGCTCAGGCCACAAGGGGGTTTTGTGCACATCCGACGATCTGGGTCGAGGCGCCTGCTCTGTAGGCATGGGGGACTGGGAGGGGTGTCTATGGAGGTCTACTGGCCCCTGTACCCTTTAGGGCACCCTGTTTCCAAATACTTTCGGCTTTAATCCTAGGACTCCCTGCTTCATGGATGTGGGACTCTCAGGGATGCTAGAACTTTGGTAAGTGATCCGGGGTAATCTATACTCTAAACCCTAAACCCAATGGGACATCTTACTCTAATAGCCCTAAGCCCCATAGGAAATCTGGCTCTAAACCCTACTTGAAGGATCATGGGACTTAGTAAGTGGGGTTATAAATAAGGCAATTATACTTATAATTAGGTATAACCCCAATCAAGGTACTTATAACCTTACTTACTAAGTCCCATGAACCTCCAAATAAATTCATGGGACATCTCTCTATTCTACACCGCGGCCCAACCACCACTCTCGAGCAGCGCCCTGGCACCCTAGGCCAGCATGTCTCCTTAAAGGGGTTCTTAAAGGGCTCATCAAGGGGGTTCTATAAGGGATCTATGGCAGCTCAGGGTATACTAGGTTCCTGACTAGTACCCTTTTGCCCTTTTTTATGTTGAGGGCCCCTTTGCTAAAAACCGACTATTTGGAAAAAGGGCACCCTTATTATACATGGGCTACTCAGGAACCTAGTCAACACGATGTAGTGGGTTTACTTGGAGGGCAGTGGGACCTAGCACGTAAGGATATATATATATATATATATATATATACGGCAGCTTATAAATGACTCAGTCGACGTACTTATAACCTTACTCACCAGTCCCATGATGCTCGAGGTACTGTAGGGTTTGTTTTATGACGGGTCCTGGGAAGGTGTGTCCTTACAAATTTGGTTTTTTTTTACAGGTGTGTTCCTGAAATTCCCGACTCTTGGCCACTAAGCCCTAACCCACCGTCCCGGCCATGGATTCGGATGTTGACATGTCCATCAATTCGGGCGCGGGTCGCGAAGAGGAACAGCAAGAAAGGTGGTTTGCTTGTGCCGGCTGTGACCCTTGGTTATGTGTATATACAAACACAGTTTTGTGTATGTACACATGTTTACACCAGGCTTACAAACTCTAAGCTTTTTGATTCGGCTTTAAACGCATGTGTACTCATACAGACATATGTACTTAGATATATTCATGTTTGTGTGTGTGTGTGTGAGTGTGTGTGTGTGTGCTAACATGCGTGTTCACACGCTTCACTGGTTGATGTAAGCGTTTACTACGGTCCAAACCCGTTCAGCCTTGCAAACTCTGGCTGCTACAATAAGCCCGTAGTTGGAACCCTTAAGCCCTAATTGAACCCTAACCCTAAACCCTAAACTGCGACGAAGGAACGCATGGTTACAGCTCTTGTTCGACGTGGGCACCCCCACCCGGAGCGGCATCATTACTACAGCTACACTCATTGTTGTCAAGCCTGCGAAGAAGGGCAGGGAGCTTAGTGCTTCGTTCAAAAAGCCATAATTAGGCGGCGACCAGAGGCAGCTGAGGATAGTTTAGAAGGGTATCTGCGCAAAAATCACTGACCGAAGGCAGGGACATTCACAAGACGAGTGGGCATGTGCCAGTGTGCCAAGCTCGCTCTTCCGCAAGATCAAGCCTCTGGGCTTAGGAATCGGTTTTGTTTTTTGCTATATGGGAGTTTCCGAAAATAGGGGACCCTAATATAGCACCCGAAATAGTAGGAGCCTTAGTACAAGGACCCCAAGATAGGGTACCCCTTTTTCGGAAACTCCCAGATTTTGTGTCGAAGAGGATGACTCTGACAGTTCTCCGTAGTCGAAGAAGCAACCTCTCTCAGCTTCTTCGGGCATGTTCGAGGGTTTTTGTTGACTGGGGTTTAGCTTTGAGGTTCAGGGTGTCGGATCCGGGACATTTACTGTTGCATAGTACAAAAGTTCTCCTGTTCTCCTAATCTTGAGAATGAGATTTAGTATATGTTGGGAAGTAAGGTTCGGTTCGCGAGAGCAGCATTACCTGCTGCACAACCCAATCGGTCTGAAACCTCTTCCAGTTCTGCTTTTCCTTCATGGTGCCCACACGTACATCTACCCGGAGACCTTATGGTGGGACATCGAGAAGCTCTTGGAAACTTATTGGCTGTAAACTCAACTTTTCAACCTTCGGGGTTCTTAAAAGGTAGTCGATGTTGAAAGTTTCAACTTTTGTTCCCTTGAGTTTTGGGCCAGTGAGGAAAACAACCAGACGGTGCGTGAGGAGTTCATTGTCGTCGCGCCTTTTGGATCCTGGGTTGTGCTTTGGGATAATTTTTAATTTCCCTCATTTCCTTGCAAAAGGAACCTATTCATAAATAATTTTCAAAGGGTTTAAAGCACAACCCAGGATCGGTTGGAGAGCCTGTCGTTCATCCTTCCGAGTGGCTGAAAAGAAATCGCTTCCAGATTGAGGAGCCCTACGTAAAGTGTGTCTGGGCTCTTGCTAGGGAAGCTCCCAGACCTTCCAAAATCCCTTAATTAAGGAATATACATTAATTCACAAGAGGGATCCTATTATAATTTAAGGTATATTCCCCTAATTGAGGGATTTGGGAAGGTCTGGGCTGATGCTAAGTTACCAGAAACGGAATGAATGCTACTTTTGTTTCAACCCGGAATATGTTAGGTTTCTAACGAAACCCTTGCAGGAACCCTATAACGCCTGTAAGACTCATTAGGTTGCTGCCCAACCCCAAACCCTAAACCCCAAATCGGTTCGGTAGTTGTAATTGCCACTAACATTGTGGCCTATCCACTGTTCAACCAAGATACCCTGCAATGCGGGCTTCGTCCTTGCTAGGTAGGAGGGAAAAAAACCCAAATCCTAAGCCAGGTTTTGCTGTCGAGATCCTTTGGGAGTTCTTCCTTGCGGCTCTGGACGATCTGGGCAGCAGAGCAGATCTCTCCCGTTTGCACGTCACGGGCTGCTAGGCTGTTGCTAGGGTTTAGAGTTTAGGAGGGTTTAGGGTTTTCGGGTTCGGGGCTAACGATGTTTGGACAAGTTGGCAAGACTGTGCAGCATGTGTCGGTCGTGCACTGAATGAGTGAGTGAGTGAGCGAGCGAGCGAGCAAGAGATCGAGAGTGACAGGGACAAAGGGAGCTGAATCTGATGTTGTAGTCTGGGCCTTCTGTCAGTTTTTTGTTTGCCGTGTTTTTGCTGTTCGCTGATATTAGTGGTGTTTCGGTATCACCGAAATTACGGTGATCAATGTCATGACCGGAATAAACGGTATCCAGTGTCATATGCGAACACCAGCAAACCGTATCCGAAGTCATAGCCACGAAAAACCGATATATGCGAACACGGAAAAACCGCATCCAGTGTCATATGCGAACACACCGCAAGAGCCGCATCCAATGTTATACCCACGTAGAAGCGTATCGGATGTCATATGCGAACCCCTAAACCGCATCCAACGCCACATGCGAACTCGGACATAGACTGTTTGCAATGTCACATTTGCACGCCGACACCGTATCCAATGTCATATGTGAACACGAAAAAGACCTCATCTGACGTCATCGCAGTGAAAACCTGTATCCAATGTCGTGCAAGCGCGAAAGAACCATCTCCAATGTCATGCTAGGACGTAGAGTAGGCCCTTTTTTCCTTTATTTGGGGTTCAGGTTCCTGTATAAGCCCCCTTAATCCAGTAAGGACCCCCTTTTTTTCCCAGATTACTCTTAAGTCTAGCATATGCGAACCCCGAAAAAAGACGATAACCGGTCGCAGTGGCAAGCCACCAAAGACCGTCTCGAATGTCATATGCGACCACCGAATAACCTTATCATGTCATATGCATGCCCGGAAAACACCACAGAGTAAGTAAGCTTTACATAGAGTTTTTTGTTCTCCTACTTTAACTCGCCGTATAGGAACATATGATAACAAGCATGCTCCCAAAGAGTCCTATGTACCGATATAGTAGAATGTAGGGTGTCCATTTTAGGAATTGCTATTATGACTTAGGGAAGTATAACCCCCACAACAGTACAAAGGACCCTTTCGGGCTGTCCTTACACTGCCACGCTGGGAGCTCCGAAGTCCCGATCAAACTACAAGCAACCGCAAAACTCGCAAGGCCAAGAACGCCTGGGAGGTTGATAGGTAACACCCTACACAGCCCTAGAAAAACCTCTTCAAATCGTATCACAGTCAAACCTTCTACAGCTCTAATTAAATGTTTGTGGTATCCCAGAACACAAACCCTACAGCAACCTGAACCCAAGCATCTCAAAAACTTACAGCCCGACAGACAGCAATCAAAAGCCCAATTCCCTACAGTCCCTACCACCCCACAATCCCAAAGCCCTACAACCTTGAACGTTGACAAGAGTCCAGGTCTTAAAGCCCCACATCCGAACTCGCGAACCCTTACCTAAACCCCAGAAGTAGGCAACATACAGCCCAAGACCAAGACCTGTAAAAGGCTTTTGTTCTACATACTTTCAGGGTCCAGGTACCTCTAACCCCCTAAACCCTAAACCCTCAAAGGCTACAGCTCTAAAGCCTCAAACCCTGAACCCTCATGGGCTTTCATAGAATCTAAACCCTAAACCCCTAATCCCCCCTAAAACCGTCAAAGGCTACACCCTAAACCCTTAAACCCTTAAAAGTCAAAGGCTACGGCACCCTAAACCCTAAACCCTAGGCTACAGCATGGGAGGGCAAGCGACTTGGGCCTTGGCTTCCCGCTATGGCTCACTCCTGGCCTCAGTCGCCGCCTTGGTTCCCAAAGGGGAAAAGCGAGGGACCCTAGGCCCTTTACTAGGGTTCCTTTAAAGGGATCTATATGGGGATACTTAAGGGGTCTATAAGGGTACTACAATACTGTAGGAACCTGATTGAGGTTGGGCAAAGAAAAAGGAGGGATCCTTAATGGGGACCCTTACCCTATAATGGGCTATATAATGGGTATATAATAGCTATATGAAGGGTATATACCAAGGGGTCGTTATTAAGGGTCCCTCCTTTTACCCTTGGACCTAGGGTCTATGGGAGTTTCCGAGAATTGGGGGGTACCTTCAAAGGGATCCTTAAAGGGAGCTATAAGAGTTCTATATGGGGTTTAGGGTTCAGAGTTCCCGATACAGGTCCAGAGTATCTATATACGGTTGATGGTATGAACCCTGCACTACCTAGAATAAGGAATATACCATAATTCCCATAGTCTAGGGGCATTAAGGTAATGCAGGACTTGTATCATCAACCGTAGTACAATGCAGGTGTCTCCATTAGGAACTACTCTCATGATTTGGGGGGCTATTCCCCATAAAAGTACCTAGTACCCTATGGGAGTGAGTGATGCGTGAACGCAGAAGTAACCCAACCCTAAACCCTAATACCCCTAAACCCTAAACCCTAGGGCCTAGCAATCGTAAGAGCATGTTGCAGACCCTACATTACTTGGAGTGTCGGGGGACTTAGTAAGTAGGTAGTAAGTAGACTTATAAGTACCCTAAAAGGGACCCTAATTGGGGTTATGGTACTTATAAGTCCCTAAAATAGCCAGTTTCTAAGTCCCCCGACCCTCCAAGTAGGGTGTCAGGCTCAGAGGTTTTGGGGCTTACGAGCCTTCCCTAAGGGAACCCTAGGCTCGACACTGTAAGCCCTAAACCCTGAACCCCCAGACCTTCCAAAATCTCTTAATTAAGGAATATACCTTAGTTCAAAAGAGGGATTCTGTTATAATCCCAGGTATATTCCCTAATTGAGGGATTTTGGAAGGTCTGGGCCCTATGACTCTGTAAACTTCAAGCCGTCACCAAGGTTGCACCGATGGCTGCTTGCTGCGCTTGGCCCCAGGACGGCTGGGAACAGGAGGAGTCCATCTTGGCCGAGCGCCTCGGCTGGCTTTATGATAATCAGAAAACCTTAAACTACCGAACCCTATTTTTTGTGGATTCTGATTTTGAACCCTCAAATGGAATTTATAGGGACCCTATCAAAAAGTAGGTTTTGGTAGGTTAAGGTCGGAATAGGTTTTGGGGGTATATCATCGTACAGCCTTTTTGGCGACTGTAAGGGGTAATATTAGTGAGTCTTCCAGTCCCCCCCAAACCCTAAACCCTAAAACCCCAAACCCAATGACGCCAGACCCCAAAACCCTAAAGCCCTAAGCTCTGAAAGCCTAAACCCAATGACCCCTAAATCCCTGAAGCCAGGCTTGAAAAGCTTCCTTTGTGGTTCTTCGCCGGAGAGGCAGAGACTCCCAAACCCAGTAATCCAAAGATCCCAATAAAGGGAACTCCAGAAAGTTGGAATATGGATTCATGGTAGAATCCCCTATAATGTACCTTAAAGGGGTTACGATAATGATATTCCAACTTTCTGGCTTCTACTGTACCAGTTAATTAAGGATACATACCTTAAATAACAGGGGTTTTAATATCATGACTTAAATAATAGGGGTTTTAATGTTACTATTATGATTTAAGGTATATTCTTTGATTAAGGGGTATTGGGTTTCTGGGAACAAGGAAACTACTTTAAAGCGTTTAAGACAAGCCCCATAAGGCAACGTAGACCTTGAGCCATAATGCGGATCCTTCTATACGATTTAAGGTACAATCCACCCTAGACTCTGATCCCTAAACCCTGCACAGGAGGATGTTCGGACCGTCTGCTGGCGGGATTTCTGGTGGTTGGCTGACAAGCGTGGCCTCCCAACGGAAGCAGCAACTCAGGACATCTTGAGGATTTATAAGGGCTTTTAGGGACACCCGAAACCGAAAACCGCAAAACTTCAAACTTCTTAAGCCCAAAACCCTCAAATCTAAAGCCCTACAAACTAAATCCCCAAAGCCCTAAACCAGCACAGATGTGAGCATAAATGACAGGACATTGTCGTGGAAGGGAAGACAGTCTCAGCCACGCTCTACAGTTGGGCACCGCATCTTCATTTGGCTCTGCTGCGTGGGACGCGGACTAGCCACAGCATGTGGGATCCTGTTTACCACAACGAGGGCGCTTTCGGGCTCTTCACGAGAATGAAGGATGCCAGGTGTGCGTCGGCCATGAGGTCGTCCGCCGACGGTCGGCGGAGAACACCAGTAGAATCGCAAAGTGGGTGCCCAGACTAGTTGGCAAAAACGGACAAGCGTGGCGGTGTAGGCGTCGTAGGAAATTCTAAGGTGGTTCTTATGCTTTTTGATTTGCGTAATTATGAGCGATGCGAGATGCTTTTCGGAAAAGCCCACTGGATATTAAAGCCTTTATCGAACCTTGAAGAAGCGCTCAAAGAGCACTCATGGGACCCTGCTAGGCCCTTTAAACCCCCCTCACACCGACCCATGCTCCGACGACACCCGGACGAGAGTATACTATAGGGGCATCCTAATTAGGAATAGGGTTTGGGGGCGTATAAAGGTTGTTTAACAGTATAGCCTCTTTTACGCTGATTGCTACAGGCTGGTGCGTCTTCCCAAAGACAAGGACTCCGCGTCGCAGGGCTTTGGCGTTTAGGCCTTTAGAGGTTTGGGTTTTTCGGGGTTTTGGGTGTCAAAGGGTGTAGATGTCAGGGCATCGCCAGCAAACAACAGAGCTCCGGGCGCCGGCGTTCCTGAACCCTTGGTTTAGGCTTCGGAAATTTGGGCTTCGGGGTGTCTCGACTTAAGCCCTGGTGGTTTCACATAGCAATGGACGGAAAGCCCTAATCTTCATGGCCTGAAACCTGTAACCTCTTCCCAACCACTGGTCTGCAATCAAACGGAATGCCTATCCCTAAACCCTAAACCCTAAACCCTATCCATCCTCCAACTCCATCAAGCCCCTGCAAGTCCCTGCAATGGTGAGCCCTATGTGGGAGTTTCCGAAAATTGGGGGTACCTTGTTTTGGGGTCCTTATATTAAGGATCCTATTGGTACTATATTAAGGTCCCCTATTTTCGGAAACTCCCATGTAGTTGCTACCTCAAGGTATCCCTGCCCCTCATTAAGGAGAGCCAGAACCTCTAAACTAGCCTCCACCCTAAACCCCCAACCCCTGAACCTTCCCTAAACCCTGAACATCCTTGAACTAGCCTACACAGGGGTTAGGGTTTAATTAGGGATTTCCTGAACCCCCGAGGTGTCTGGGTTCAGAGTTTTTGTGTTGTATAGGGATTCACCGTTCCTTCTAAGCAGAGTCTACACCAAACACCCCTGCGTAGTTCTTGTTGCTTGTCCTTGCTGTGGAAAAATGCTATACATCTCAAACTCCAACCTTAAATTCTGCAATACCCTTAATCCCACAGCCTTCCTGACATGCTAGAGTAAGGGTGTAGAACAAGCACAATTGACACAATGTGATTAGCAAGGACAAAATGCCCATGGTGGAGAGAGCCCAAAAACCAATGCATGTCCCAAAGTCCTGAGGATAGTGAGCAGTCTGAGAAATATTTCGCAGTTCGAGGAATCGGCACCCCAGACCCGCAACTCCCTTTATGAAGCCATTGCATAAGCAAAAACACTTATGGAAGGAGACTTTACAGCAGCTCGTTATTGGCTCCTCTATCGCTGCAGCTGGCGAAGCAGCAGCTACCTCCAGCAACCCAGCTGCAGCATGCATAGCCAAAGACAGGTCCAAAGGTTCTGCACGGATGTTATCGGGTCGAGGGGTCCAAAGATACGTGGAATAACTCGGTATATTTGATAGCAATTGTTGCTAAGATGTAGGCTTTGATAAGCCTGATGCCTTAAACCCTAAACTGCGCCACATCCCGAGAGTCCGCGGAAAGTCCCTCTTGCGTTGCTTGCAAGTGCATCATGATAGCCGACGTCTGCAACTGGTCCCCCTGCACTTGCACCTATACGGTTTTAGGGTTAAGGGTGTGGGGTGTCGGTCTGTAATTGATCTTCTTGTGTACAGGGTCGACTTTGAGATAAGCTTGTTCTGCTGTGTAACCGTATAGCCAGCATGTGCAAACCATGATGCGCTCTGACACTCGTTGATACGAGATGCCTGGATACCTCGCCACAGAGACGTTTTAAACTCGAAGCTCTGAGCCAGGAATTATGCCTTATAGTCTATATAGTGGATCCTGTAACGAACGTCAAGCAGCTGCTTGAAGCCCTCTAAAGTCCGCAAGAAAGGGCAGGCTGTAGGGCTTCTGAAAGCTGCTGCTAGACTTGGGAGTTTCTGAAAATAGGGGACCCTAATATAGTACCCTAATAAATAGTAGGATCCTTATTATAAGGACCCCCCAAATAAGGTACCCCTAATTTTCGAAAACTCCCACTTCACCTTGCAAATGGTCATGCTTAGAGTTCAAGGTTCAGGGCTTTGGGTTCACAGGCACATGGCAGGGTTGTCAACAACGTCATTGAGTCAATGACATTTGACCCACTGTACCCTAAACACTAGAAGAGCCTGTGATGTAAGCCTTCGAACGGCTCAGGCTATACCGGAATTCGATGGAGTGGGCAGCCTAGTGCAGGGAAATATGGGGTTTGGTGCGTTCTTGTTGAGGATCTCATATAATTCTATCTAGCTTAGTTGCAGATAGTGATCTGCGGGATGCTCCAAGCCAATGCTGAGGGTTTAGGATTCTTCGGTTGGCAAGCTTTTACCTGCGCGCACTTTCTTCCTACAGTCAGACTTGGCTTTAGGATGATGGTTCTTAAAACTATCGGGCCTAGTAGCTCTGTAGACCCGACACCGTAGTAGCCGTAGTAGATGTTTCATCTTGGTAGCCCTGAGCTTCCTCCCTCTTGTGTATGCGCTCCAATGCTCGGGTTGATGTCGGCGGCCTCCTCGTCTTGGGGCGCAGAGGTTGTTGCAAGCTGGTGTTTGGATGACGTTCTTCCCTAGCCTAACCCTAAACCCTAAACCTTATGCACCCTAAACCCTAAATCGTAGCCCTCAGGGCGTGAGCCCATAAAAACCTTGCAGAGATGACTCTCAGGCCGTGTGTTCGAAGAACCCAGGCCCTACCAAAAGCAGCCTCGATCTGTATATTCTAGGGTGTTGTATTAGAGTCCTAGATTTTCGGAAACTCCCAAATAGGGCTCAGTAATCGGTTAGTTGTATATAACATGTCCTTTTTGCCTTCTATAAGTATACAGTGTTTCTCTTTCATTATGCTAGTTTTTGTTTTCTAAGCCGCATGCTGGAAGTCCTGTGCTCGTCACGCCTGTGTATTTGACAGTATGTTAGCACGGTTCAGTGCTTATGCTGAAGGAAGCCGTTGATCAAGGTTTCGGAACTGCAAGCCGTTCATTCGTCATTTGTTGGCTCTTTTTGGGCTGCCCCACGCTTCGAGTCACTCCTCTCGCCTGCTTGCAATCAGCCGGTGGTCTCCAGCCAGAGGTTGCAACCCGGCTCACCAACTTGACTCTGAAACTTGTGGATACTGTGTTGGGGCTTGACATGAACAACCCTAAACCCCTAAACCCTAAACCCTAAGCCCTTTGGGGCTTGACATGAATAAGCCCTCCATTGAGGTTCTAATTCGGGCCCCTTCAATCCGAAACTCCCGCCAAAACCCTGGACTCCTAAACCCTAGGCCCTAAACTGCACCCTATAAACTCTAAACCCTAAACCACCCAGAGGCTCCATAGTAGTTCCTTTTGGGGATTACCTTATAGGATTCTATATATGAACCCCAAAAAGGAACTACTTTGGAGCCTTAGGGTATAGACTCTATACCCAAAGCCGTAGAGAGACGCCATGGTCCCTGTTGGCACCGTCGATGCGCTTCTCACGGAACCGGACGGTAGCCTGGAGGCGCTGGGATGTTGGCTTTTGATTAGGGTTTAGGGTTTAGGGGATTTTGGGTGTACCTTAACCCTGAAGGATCTATCTTTTTAAGGACTTGTATAAGGAAATCAGAATAAGGAACCCTAAAAAGGTAGGTTATTCAGGGTCAAGGTAGGGCTTCTAGGGTTCAGTGTTTGGGATTTAGAAATTTGATTAGGGTTCATAGGGTTTTCGGAATTTAGGGTTCAGAGTTTAGGGTTTATAGCGTTCAGGGTTTAGGGTTTATAAGGGTTTAAGGTCTATACAGTGCAGGGTTTAGGTATTAGTGTGGTGGTCAAGACTAGGGTCCGTTTTTTTGGTTTCCGGTCTAGGGTGCAGCAACACCAACTTAGTGCCTGCGTAGGTAACTTTTAAGCTTTTGGGAAAAGGTTAACCTTTTTTGGGCTAGGGTACTCAGCCCCTAAGCATGCGTGGCTATAGAGACCTGAGGTCAGTTTTTGTGTTCCAAAGTGTTGAGGGTGCATCTTCAAAGTAAAATTATATCGGATTTCCCGGAAGGACTATAATTTCCACAACTACCCACATCGTGCTTTTTGAGGGTTTACTCCGTCGGTCCATGTGCGATACTCGTATATACTTTTTTCGCTTTAAAGTAGTCCCTATTTAAATACGACGGGGCCAATGTTTCTATATACTATTCGGGCACATGGACCCTGAGGGTTAACAGGCTTGTTGGAGCTCTGCTTGGGCTTGCTTAGGGCCTTTAGGGTTTAGCTAGGGATCGGGGTCTAGATCATGTTCTGTACGGTCTTCTACGGTTTTTGTTTCGGGATGAATACAGGGCTCTATATAGCCTAAATGGTCTGGTATGCTTTTAGGAGTTTGAGGGTTGTTACATGAGGTACCCCCAGTAGTAGACTTTTGCTTTTCTGGGCGGCGTCTTTCTCAAAAGATAACGTCTAAAAAACCTAAGATTGCCTTTCATGCATTACTTATGTCATACTGTCTGAAGGTGTGCGTAACATAATGCCTCAATCATGCCAGAGGCCCCCTTTCATAGCGTCAGCTCTATTCTTGAGCATAAAGTCTCCCAGTAGAGCCCGCTTTCATTGTTTGTCTTTTTGGGCTTATATATATATATACTTCAACAAATGGTACCCTTATTTTTGAGGGCTATTTTTAAAGGGGCTACTGGGGCACCTAGAACCAACTGAGATGTCTTTGCAACATCTGGGTGCGGACACAGCCCAAGGAATCTCCTCAAACCCCTAAACCCCTACTTGGAGGCCCTTTTGACTTAGTAAGTCTACTTAGTATCCCCTAGAAACCCTATTATAATCCCCATAACCCACCTTACTAATCCTAGTTACAAAGTCAAAAGGGCCTCCAAGTACAGTAGAAGCC